AGTGTTTGCAGGGATAGGGATAACTATTTGGAGAAGTACGTTCTGAACGACATTCCCTCTTGCTCGGACCTCCTTACCTCAGACAACCTTCTTGCTCTCTCAGCCCTTGGCAAGACAATGAGTCAACTCCAAATCCCTTCCTTCAGCAGGAAGAAATTTGCCCCCAGGACCGTTGTTACCCCTGCGGCAACTTCTTCCCCAGCTTCAGCATCTTCTTTTACTACTATTTCTGATACCATTCATTCTATCGACCTAACCGTGACAGCTACCTGCCCAGTCTCCAACGTTCCACCCGTCAACCCAAACGTAACTCCTTCTGTCAGCAACCTTCCCAGCTCTGCTACTATTGCTGCTTGGGAAAAGGCGAAAGGAAAAAGACCTCATCCTACCAGTGCTCTCAGTATTGATGACATCCCTTTGTCACAAAGGGTTAGGCCCTCTGGGCCAAGTGTGTCCGTGCCTCCTCAGACTAGGCCCCCTCTGACTAGGCCTCATACCCTCTCTGGAGCTACCTCCGTTAATGCCTATGCCTCTATATCGGTCCCATGGAACCCTCGCTTTATCCGAACGAACGGATCATCTATAAAGCCAGACGAGACCATGTTCAAGGATGGTCAGACTACTATGGCATACTACAAGAGCATGTGGACTCCTAAAGATATTGAGGTAGCCAAGGGTCTGTCTCAGAAAGAAGTGTTCAGCCGGTTCCCCTTGTCTGCCATGGAGGTAACTTTTGCCCCTCAGTTAATAAATCTTTACACAGTCTTTACATTTGATTTCTTCTGACTATCTGCTCGGCTTAATCAGTTGTCATGTACATCTCTACAGACCCTGTATGGGATGATGGCCATGCAAAAACAAGTTGAGCTGGTTAATGCCAAGGTTCGTATGTTCTCTAACAACCTTGGTGCAACTAACAAGGAGAACGATGCTTTAGCTACTCAGAATACCGAGCTGATGGTTCAGCTCAACAAAGTTGAGAAAGAGAGGGACGCTCTGAAAAAGGAAACTGACTCCCTTCAGGATGAAAATGATGCTCTTCAGATTGAGAAGAGTGTTTGGCAGACCGAGTGCGAGTCGCTCAGGAATGAAAAAGGAGAACTTCAGCGCCTTCTGGCTGATAAGCAATCCGCTCGGATGGCCTTTGAGAAAAGAGATCTAGACGAGCGTGATGCTTTACTCAACACCATCAGTAAGGTAAATGGTGGTATGCTAGCTCTGCACGCTCAGTTTTCTAGGGTTGGGGCCATTAGATATACTTAGGGGTTCCGAGAGGGTTATACCGATCGTGTTCCAGCTGAAGGTCAGACCGGTTCTACCCCTGATAAGGTTGACAAAGAGCTGGAGATTGATCCTCCGGGTGTTTATGCCAACCCAGACTCCACCCCTACTGAGGGCATATTTGATGAATGCCAAGAGATCGCCTCTTCCAGGATCGCTCCTACTCCCTCTACTGCTCAACCTCTAGGCGTTCTTCCTCTGTCCACCGTGACTCCCTCCACCACTGCTACTGAGGATGAGCCTCGGCAAAATGATTCTTCCAATGCCACTGAGGATAGAACTCAGCATAATGATTCTGTCATTCAGCTTGATTCTCCTCCTCGTGAGGACGGAACTACCAACAGTGATGTAGGGACCGTTCAGTACCATCAAGAAGCTGACGGGGCAAACGTTTCTAGTTAGAACTTTTCTGATGTACCGACCTCCTTCCTTTTGCATTTTAGTCATCTGTATACCTCATTTTTTGTTACTCTAAAACTTCACTATTAATGAGATGGCTGACTTTTGATTGAACTCTTGCCATAAATCCCTTTACTTAACGATTTAATGCTATCTGATCTGGTTCTTCTCTGTATGTCAGTGGTTAACGTTCGGCTAGTGTACCACTTTGCCATTTTTTTTTTTTTGGCAAGTTTTTGGCGTTCGGCTCATAGTGCCAGCTACCACTTACTTTGCTGAGTGGTTGGCGCTCGGCTAGAATGCTACTTGCCACTTTCACTCTTTTATTTTTGGCAAGTTTTTAGCGTTCGGCTCACAGTGCCAGCTTCCACTTACTTTACAGAGTGGTTAGCGCTCAGCCAGAATGCCACTTGCCACTTTCACTCTTTTACTTTTTAGCAAGTTTTTGGTGTTCGACTCATAGTGCCAGCTACCACTTACTTTGCTGAGTGGTTGGCACTCGGCTAGAATGCCATTTGCCACTTTTACTCTTTTATATTTTTTATTTTTGGCAAGTTTTTGGCGTTCGGCTCATAGTGCCAGCTGCCACTTACTTTGCAGAGTAGTTGGCGCTCGGCTAGAATGCCACTTGCCACTTTCACTCTTTTACTTTTTGGAAAGTTTTTGGCATTCGGCTCATAGTGCCAGCTGCCACTTACTTTGCTGAGTGGTTGGCGCTCGGCTAGAATGCCACTAGCCACTTTCACTCTTTTATTTTTGGCAAGTTTTTGGCGCTCGGCTCATAGTGCCAGCTGCCACTTACTTTACAGAGTGGTTGGCGCTCGGCCAGAATGCCGCTTGCCACTTTCACTCTTTTACTTTTTGGCAAGTTTTTGGCTTTCGGCTCATAGTGCTAGCTGCCATTTACTTTACAGAATGGTTGGTGCTCGGCTAGAATGCCACTTGTCACTTTCACTCTTTTACTTTTTGGCAAGTTTTTGGCGTTCGGCTCATAGTGCCAGCTGCCACTTACTTTGCTGCTTTCATACACTCGACTTTTTAGAAAAAGATAGCTTTTTATAAATTTCAGAATTCTGTACAACTGAAAATGAGTAATGCCAGAATTAGAACTTTAAACTTTCTACATATAATACCTTTTTAAAGATGTAGCATTCCATGGCTTGTTAACCATCCTTCCGGCCATGGTCTCTAGTATATATGCCCCCTTCCTTATGACCTCTATAATTCTGTGTGGTCCTTCCCAAGGTGACATCATCTTTTTAACCATTCCTACCTTCTTCTTCAGAACCAGATCGCCAAGTGCGAAATCTCTGTGCTTCACCCTTTTGTTGTGGCTGTTAGCCAGTGTCTGTTGATAGGATGCAAGCCTTATTGCTGCAGCATCTCTCTTTTCCTCTATCATATCAAGGTTAAATCTCAGTATTTTGTCATTCTGTTCCTGATTACATGCTAAGCTTCGGACAGTCGGAACCAAATATTCAACTGGTATGACTGCCTCAGTTCCGTATGCCATGGCGAATGGGCTTTCCCCGGTCGGCCGTCTAGGGGTCGTTCTGTAAGCCAATAGGATGTTTGGGAGTTCGTCCAGCCACTTCCCTTTATGGTCTTCCAGCTTCTTCTTGATACAAGCAAAAATTGTTCTATTCGTAATTTCTGCTTGTCCATTGGCTTGGGGATGACTTACTGCTGCCAATTTTTGGTTAATTCCATATTCTTCCAGCAATTCTCTGACTTGCTTGCTGTTGAGATTAGTCCTATTATCCATAACGATCGACTTTGGGACACCAAAACGGCAAATAATATTACTCCAGATGAAGCGTCTTACATGGGTTTGCGTTACACTCGGATGTGGCTCTGCTTCTACCCATTTGGTAAAGTAATTTGTTGCCAGCAATACATACTTGTTCTGAGCTCTTGCAGTTGGTAGAGGACCAACCACATCCATCCCCTATTGTGCGAAAGGCCATGGTGTGGCCATTACGTGCAAGTCCTCAGGTGATTGGTGGATTAATGGTCAGAACCTTTGGCACTTACTGCATCTTCTGTAAAATTCTTCCACATCTCGTGACATGTTCGGCCAGAAGTACCCTTGCGTCATTGCTTTGTGTGCTAAAGATCTTCCCCCTGAATGATTTCCACACACACTTTCATGAATAGCTCGCAATATCTGCCGAGCCTCTGTGGGTAACACACTTTAAGTACGGCCCAGAAAAAGACCTTCTGTATAACTAGTTATGCACTATGGCGTACTTTGCAGCATTCGATTTGATTTTTCTAGCCTCATCTCTTTGCTCAGGCAGAGTACCATCCCGAATGTAAGTTATGATCGGATCAATTCAACTTGGCTCATATAAAATAACATTCACTTGCCAAGGTTCTGGGCCCTAAGGTTCTTCAGAAATGGATGGCTGGTTCAGTATTCCTATTAGAATCACCCTTGCCAATGTTTCTCTAGAACTCGAGGCGCTACATGCTAGCAGATCGGCATCTTCGTTATGCTCTCTCAGTATTTGGATGAATTCAATTTTTTCAAAGTTTCTGACTTCTCACATAATAGCAGAATGATATGCCTCCATCGTTTCATCCTTGGTTTCATATTTGCCATTCACCTGCCAAACAATTAACTGTGAGTCACTAAAGATGGTCAAATTCCTGACCTTCAGCTCTTTGGCGAGCTTAAGTCCAGCCAGTAGTGCCTTATATTCTGCTTCATTGTTAGTGGCTTTGAATTCTAGCTGAAGCGCTTGACTTAGGGACGTGCCTTCTGGTGTCTGTAGTTTGACCCCAATGCCTGCCCCCATCTGATTTGAGGATCCATCGATAAAGAGTTTCCACAAGCAACCTCGAAGGTCTTCCTCCATGTCTTCTGAATCACATTCCAGTAAGAAATCTGCCACAGCTTGTCCTTTGACCGCCTTTCTGGGTTCATATGTTATGTCAAATGAGCTTAACTCTATGGCCCACTTCGTCATCCTCCCTGAGAGGTCTGGCTTGTGCAGGATTATTCTAATAGGGAAAGTGGTTAGAACAACGATAGGATGGGATTCGAAATAATGCCTGAGCTTTCTTTTCGCATGTACTAGCGAGAGTATCACCCACTCGGCTTTTGAATAGCGTCGTTCGGCCTCATTCATCATTTTGTTAACATAGAACACTGGATATTGCTTTCCCTCTTTACAACGGATCAGAGCGCCACTTGTAATGATGCTGGATACCCCGAGGTATAAAAATAGTTTTTCTCCTGGTTCGGGAGCTAACAAGACCGGAAGGTTCTGCATATATTCTTTTAAACCAGTTAATGCTCGACGCTGTTTATCCCCCTAAACTTGTCTCCCATGGCTTCGTATTGTGTCAAAAAATGATTTGCAGTGATCTGATAATTTGGAAATGAACCAGCTTAATGCGGCTATCAGACCCGTAAGTGCTTGCACTTCTTTGATTGTCTTCTGCTCAGCATTCTTAGTCAGAGCTTCTGCTTGGGCAGGGCTTGCTTCTATGCCTCTATGATTAACCACGCGTCCCAGGAACTGACTAGAACTCACGCCTAATGAGCACTTGGTTGGATTAAGCTTCATTCCATATTGTCTCAACACATCAAATACGTCTTGTAGATGTTTCAGATGGTCAACTTTCTTCTTACTTTTTACTACCATGTCGTCAATGTAGGCTTCCACAATCTTCCCTATTTGATCCTTGAAAATTTTGCTAATAAGCCTTTGATAAGTTGCTCCGGCGTTCTTTAGTCCGAACGGCATAACTTTGTAGCAATAGGTCCCTCGCTCGGTAACGAAAAAGTTTTTCTTCATCAGCAGGGTCCATGGGGATCTGATTATAACCTGAATAAGCATCTAAGAAGGTTAAACGCTCGTACCCAGTAGTAGCATCCACCATTTGGTCAATCTTGGGCAACGGAAAACTATCCTTCGAACAGGCTTTGTTTAAATTGGTGAAGTCAATGCACACTCGACATTTCCCATTCTTCTTCTGCACAACAATAACATTTGACAACCAGTCAGGATAGTACATTTCTTTTATGAATCCTACATCAAGCAGCCTATCAACATCCTCGGCTATGATCCGGTTGCGCTCTAGAGCAAACCTTCCCTGCTTCTGCTTTACAGGTCTTGCATTGGGGTTAACGTTCAGAGAGTGACATGATACCAAAGGGCTAATTTCGGGCATATCTGAGTGACTCCAGGCAAATACATCAGCATTGTGAGATAAGAAATCAATTAAATCCTGTTTTTCCCTTTCGGCGAGTCTGACTCCCACTCGAGTAGATCGCTCTGGCCTAGATTGATCGATCTGTACATCAATAAGGGGTTCTTCAGTCAAGTCCGCTGGCTCCTCCTCCCCATTCTGCTTGGGTGGAGGTTTCTGTAATTGCTATCTCGGGCTCGCCGATCGGACAGGTGCTTTTCCTTTCTCAGCAGATTTCAGTGTCACTGAATAACATTCCTTAGTTGTAACTTGGTCCCCATGAATGTCAATCACCTTGGTGCTATTTGGCCCCAGGCATCTCATTACCTGGTGCAGAGTGGAAGGAACACCTTAAACTCTATGGATCCACCCTCTACCCATCAGAAGGCTGTAAGAGGGATGAATCTAGACAACTACAAAGCTCTCCATTAGAACCCTCTCTACAGCATGCACTGCTACTTCCACTATACCGATGGGCTCCACTCGTTTTCCATCAAACCCTAGCAAAGGATTCTGAGTGGGCTTGAGCTGGTCTGGCTTGATCTCGAGCCGATCAAATGTGTCCCTCGGTATGACGTTCGCACTACTTCCAGGATCAATCAGAACTCTACGTACCAAACATTCAGCCACTGTCAAACTAATGACTAACGGATCTTCATGAGGAACCTGAACGCGTAATAGGTCGGTTCTGTCAAACTTGATTTACGTTGATGCGTTTTGCTAATGCAGAGTGTTTACACTGCCTATCCTCCTCTTCATCTGTGCCTGTCGGAGACGCGCTCTAAGCAGTTCTTCTGACTCTTCAGCCAGTTCGGGCCAACCATGAATCATATTGATTATACGAACAGGCTGTGAGTTGTGGGAGCTCGGCTTCTGATTCCTTTTTACTTACTCCATTGGTAGGTTATGTTCCACCGTCGTGCCTTGGATATAACTTGTGAACTCCCCTCTGGCTATCAACATCTCTACCTGCCTCCTTAAGTTCCTGCATTCATTTGTCTAACGGCTAAAGTCAGAATGGAAAGCACAATGCTTAGACTGGTCCCTCTGGTCGAGGGGCTGCCTAATAGGTAAAGGAGGTCGAAACTTATCTTTATTTTCTTGGTACAGCTTTGCCAGCGTGACTTTCAGCGGAGTAACCAGCTCTTCCTCTCTAGGTCTCTTCTCAGCTTTCCAAGAGGTCTGACACTGTGGCTGAGCCTACTTATGCCTAATTTTTGGTTTGGTTTTCTCTTCTGTTGTTATTATGGATGTCTTCTGAGCGTTAGATGCTTCTTCTTCTTCAAAGTGTACAAAACCATCAGCTTTTTCATTCAACTCATCCATGGTCTGTGGCGTGTTCACCACCAGACTTGTGTGGAACGGAGTCCAGCGAATCATGGCCAACTTAAATGCCTGAACTGCCATGGATGGATGGCACTCAATCACTATACTCTTGGTTAAATTGAATCTGGTAAGAAAGTCTTGGAGGCGTTCATCTTCATGCTGCCACATCGTGAACAAACTGGAAACATCTTTTGCCTAGCGCTTATTCCCATAGTATTAGCTGATGAACCAATCGCAAAGGTTTCGAAAACTATCAACCGAGCCCGTCGGTAAGTTTTTGAACCAGTTGAGCGCTGGTCTAGCTAAGCTCGTTGGAAAACATTTATACATTAAGGAGTCGTTCTCCGTGTTAAGAGCCATTTTCAATTGGATATGATAGACATGATCGATTGGATCAGTCATTCTGTCAAACATAATGAAAACTGGTATGGAGAATTTCCTCAGACTCGGAACATTCAGAATTTCATCGGTAAACGGCGAGTCAACCGTCCGAACTGCTGAATGAAGGGCCTCATTCTCTTTATGGAACCTCGCGGCAGCTCTTTGATCCTTAAATCTCCTTTCTGAGCTTCAGCAGTTTAACGTAGCCATTAAAGATCGATAAAGCGAATCGGTTGATCTTTCCTCCATGTATTCCTTCTGCCAGATCGGTGTAGTTTTGTGATGTCCAAACTCCACAGCTTCTTCTCGGTTGAACCTCTCCTGATATAGATTAAAAGTCATTGCCTCGTTCCGCCTGATCTGCTCATGCAGTGGATCTAAGTGAATTGAGCCTTCTCGATCATCAAAACGATGAGTATTTGGCGGCAAATCATCCGGCCTAACCTCCTCGTGATGAGGATTTGTCAAATTATTCTTGTGATACCCCTCGGATCTGAGACACGGGTTGATCAGGCCCAGACCCAAACCCGAGGGAATATCAAACAATTAATATTTTATAATGAACACGGAATACAAAATGAATTAAGAAATTAAAGTTTAAAGCTGAAAAGAGAACTAAAAGATAATCCTTAAATAATTAAATACTTAAATTTGATAAACCAAATATCCATAATTTGAACAACTCGGGAATCCATCTCTAGTGGACCCATAATAAAAATCTCACACTGAATGAAAGTAAAATGAAAGATAAAATCCAAATCCAAGATCTGGAAAGAAATCCTACATCGTCGGTAGAATGGAAGATCGTCTCTGCTCAGCACGAACAAGCTCAAGCCTGGAACTGACGTACACCTGAAAAATAGGAGTGGGTCAGGCCCACGAACAAGTTTTATCCTACTACAATCCAAGCAGAGACTCGATACGCATGTACATACTAAATAGTTCAACAATAACTAATAATCCGTACCTAAATATATCCACACTACTGGACTCTCGCTAGGCCATGAAGGGGGTCTCAACCTAGATAGAAGGCATCACACAATACGCACCTGAGTGGGCATGAGTACCTAAACCTAAACAGGGTATACCTCAACCTTCACAGTCAGCTACACATCCAACTGCATATACGCACCCTAACCGTCGACACTGAGACTCAAGCTCATGACACGGTAACATAAAAATATATCTAAACTCCGTTTCTAACCATCCACAAGAAATCCAGTAAGTCACTCGGCGTATTCAACCGTACCGACTTATATATATAAGGAGGATTGTATTTTATAACCCGTGCCCTTACTCCAAAATAGGTAGGACTTAGCAATTTGAGCTAATCCAAACCTAGTATGTCACCGTCCCATACCGGTACATACAATCCAATCCATCCGATAGTTGATAAAGCATATACAAGTACATAACAATATCAACGAGTCCATATCAAGCATATCAGAATGTAGTAACAACCGTTCTTGAATAGTCCCAACAAATTGATTAACATTGGAAACATAAATATCAATATTAATTACTCTATTCCACGCATTTAAATAATTTATAAATGTCAAAACCAACAATTCCAACCTAACCATGTTAGAATAGATTAACCATCATGCTTTAATAAATCCAACCACTGATTAAGTACTAACAGTATCAGTGTCAAAACCCACAGTTCCAAACTAAGCACATTAAAGTATACTAGAAAAACATGCTTAATTAATCCAACAATAAGCCGTTACCTGATCACCCACAGGACTGTGTCTGTAAATATAAGTTTATTCCCGGTATCCATAATTAACAGAGCTTAAACAAATGTTATAATATTTGTTTCCATGGCATGCATAATAAATCTAGACAATTTATCATACTGTTAAGCTCCTATTCAACAAAATTGACGAATTAAATGTTAAGTTTAATCATCAATTAATCTTTAGCAAAAATACAGATTCCTTGTATGTAGGTATACTCTAAGAATTTGCAATTAGCAGTGCACAAACTCTCACAAGAAATTTTACATTATAATCTGGAAGTTAGAAACTCCAAATCCACGCAAGTCTACAAGACATTCGTAATTAACTCCATGTAATCCTAATGATTAATGCTTTGTGTCCAATTCTATGTTAATGTGATCTTTGCATATTTATGTTTACTCTAGACCACTCCTAAACCATCCATTACAGTATTCATTCTCCACTAAAACCTATTAAAACAATCACTAGGAAGCCTAATCACTGAAAAGTGGAAAAACAACCAACAGAACCCAAAAAACCACGAACAAACAACCTGGAGCCGGCTCCAGAATATTGGAGCCGCCTCCAATGGCCTTGGAGCCTGCTCCTAGACCATTGGAGCCGCCTCCAGTCCAAGGAGAGCCGGCTCCAATCCAATAGGAGCCGGCTCTCTCCCTCCTCTTCTTCGTGTTCTCCTCTCCAGTCGCCGTTTACGCCTCCGACACTTCACCGTATAGGTTTTCAGAGAGTTTAACTCAATCCCAGAAGATTCCAACCCTTAATTCAGTCCTTATTATGCTACTAATATGGATTAAACCAAGAATTAAACAAGAAAGTTCAAAATTAAACAGTTTACAATTTTAAAACAAATTCAGTTTCAGTTAAACTCTAAACATGAAACAGATAACGTTTTTATTTTTAAACATGTAATTCATCCTGGAACTATTGAGTATGCAAAGAACACAAGTATAAGGGAGAGAGTAAGGTTAGAACTTGCCTTTTGAGATTTTTGTTAAAAATCTCTACGTTGTCTTCTACGATCTCCGGCGATTCCTCCTACAACTTCCTCTGTTCCTCGTTTCTAATTCCACAGACGTGTTTTGGTTTTATTATTGTTTTCCCTAAGCAGACTTATCTTATATTTATAGGCAACCAAAACCCTAAGTCCAATTACATCTAAAGTCTGAAACGCGGCCCATAAAACACAACCTAGTTTATAAACCCTGTCGGCGCATTAAATTAAACCTAAACAGAACTAAAACCCTAACCACACTTTTATATCTAGTCATAAATTAAAACATGTAATTACTAATTCAATTAAAAAACAATAAAATTCCAAGTTAACATAAAACAGAAAATAACATACCATTTACAGAAAATTAAAGCCAAATAAATAATTAAAACAATTAACTTAAATAATCACAATTATCACAATTAATGTAAATAATTCAAATAATTAATTAAACCAAAGAAAACAAATAAACCAACTAATTAATTCAAATAACACAAATATGTCAAGTATATCAAATAATTAAAAAGTCAATTAAAACATAATTCAAAACAATTAATGAACCAAAAACAATTAATGAACAGAAAAGAAAACAATTAAACAAAATACCGAGACTATCCTTTTGAAAATTAGGAAATTAGGGGTATTACAATTCTCTTCCTCTTCACCTTGACGCGCAACAACAGGATGCATAACCTCTTCATCTGCCAGAAGCGGTTGCAGAATCGCCGGAGCTTCTTGGTGCTGCATTCCAGCTTTTAACTCTGCATTCTCTTTCCTGAGTATTTCGATCATGTTTATCAACTCATCAAGCTTCATCTGCTGGACATTCTCCATCGAATTGGAGCTTTTGCCTCCTATCATGATTCCAGAGCAAAGCAAAGGCATGAATCACAAGATCTTGATCAGATCTGAGCTGTACTGATGCAAGTCTAGTTGGATCTGGACTCAAATTCACCGAATCGCGATCACAGTTCGCTAGATCTAAGCTTTTCTAGTTTCTAACTCACTGGATCTAGCTGCGATCAAGCAAATCTCAACTGCGTAACTTCAACGCAAACACGTCAAAACCAACAGTAATCAAGAATTCCTTCAGAAAAACTGCAATCTCTCCGATCTAGATTCAATTTCCAGAAATCTTGCTTCATCTTCACAGATCAGTTTGAATTAACATGACATCGATCAAGCATGAATGAATGTTCTTCATCAATTCCCACAGACGGCACCAATTGAAGATGCAAAGAATTCACTCTCTCAATTTTCACAGAGTTTCATTACATTTTCAATTAAAAGTCCCCTTTACATTCTCTCATTGCAGCCTATTTATAGACATTTACAAATACTACTAGAATGCTATAAGTGATTCCCTAAGTTGGGTCTCTCAACCTCAGGCCTCATTCCTTATGGGCCTAGCTCCTCTCGAAAGATCCCATACATTCGGCCCATTCCGCAGCGTCATCGTGTGGGCTAAATCCAATTTCTCGGCCCGATCCTCTTTTCATGGGTCATATCCGGCCCATGTCACTTCTGGTATCCTCAGATGTACAAGCCCATAATGTGGAATGTTAGCCAAAGTTATTATCAATGCAACAGTAGGTGCAAGAACAAGTAAGCCCAGACCAAGCTAGGCAACTCAAAATAGGAGAATGTTGTATGGTTCCTCCCAATTTAGTGACATCATGGATGGAAAATCCTCCTGAATCATTAATCAAATGGTTCAACTAGTGGTCGTATAACAGTGTCAGGCAATTCCCATTCATCAACAACCCTACTTGCATTAGCAGAGTCTTTGATGGAGGTTGACATGAGCTTAGATCGCACTGCATCCATGGTTCAATGGAGGACTGCATTTGCTAATAGCAGTTTTTTTGGGAAAATCCTCCTATTTCTCTCTGTCCAAATGTTATAAAAGAGGGATGACAGAGCCAATTTAGAAATGGATTTGCTGTGAATGGAGGAGTTTCCTCTCCAATGATGAGCCATCCATACAATTAAGCTTCCCCAATTTGGTGGCAGAATGTGAAACCCACAACGCATTTGTATAAATGTCCACGAGG